AGATCGCGCGTGCAGCTGTGGCCGCCGCAGCCCTCGCCTGCGCTGCGTAGGGCTAGGAGCCCGGAGAAGAACCTCCCCCTCCCCACCTGCCGGGGACCCCTCTTTCTCTCGCCCGCGGCCCCCGGCACACCCCCCAAACCCAATAATGGTTCGGTCCAAAGCCACATCAATATTTATTCCACGAGTGCCTTCCCACAGTCTGTGACTTCCCCTCCCCTCCCTGCCCCATGAAGTGGCCCGCGGCCGAGACCCGCCTCTACCTCGCTCTCAGCCAATTCCTGCTCAGCCCCCAGGAGTCCTATTTGCATTTCTGGAGCAGATGCCCAATGGGAAGGCAGAACCACACCTCCTTCCCCTGAGAGGGCGGTACTCCAGGTGGATTGCACCAATCTTGGGAGCCAGGGATGGGGAAAGTGCTTCCACCGAGGTCGAGGTGACAGGAGGGCGGGCTCCCCTCAAATCAGGGTCCTGAGTTGTCAGAAGAGGGGCTTCTGGCCTTGGAAGAGGTCCAGCAGCCCGCTGTCCGGGGCGGGCTCCTTAATGATCTTCTGGATCTGCAAGGAAAGTGGAGGTGGTGTTGGAGGTGGGTCGGATGAGTTAGGGCCCCAGTTCCCCCGCTGACAGATTCTGGGACAGCCCCCACTCCTTCATCTCCCTGACTTCATCAGCAGCCTCTCTTCTCCGAGTATCCTTGGGCATTTACATCACACCTGCCTGGCTTTCTTCCTAACCAGGCCTTGTTCTGCCGGCTGGCCGTGACCCTCAGCTATCCGTCCACACCTTCCCGGTCCATCACTTTTGGGCCTTCACCTCCCAGCTTCACCTCGGCCTTGGGCCCTATACTCTAGGCCCATTTACCCAGCTGCATCTTCGTCGTGTGTCAGGAGGCCCAGCTGAGTTCATGTCCAGTAGCAGACCACACGGCCATGCTCCTGATTAGGCCCCAGCACTGCTTGGTGGGTGCCTCCAGCAGCCTCCAAGCTGGACCCCTCTCCTCCATAACACCTACTTGGGATCCTCCTGCCTCATCCTCCCAGGTAGCTAGGATTACAGGCGCAGCTGTTTGTAAACTGATCTGAACATGGCCGTTGTCCCTGTGCCAAACCTCCATGGCTGCCCATTGTTAAACAAACACCCCCACCTCTGCCAAATCATGGCTTTGGCTCCCACCAGCTTCGGCTCCTCCCAAGCCACCCTTGGGCCACCTCCTGGCCTTTGCCCCTCTGGCTGCTCCCTCTTCTAGGAACTTGAAACCAAGGGCTGCTTCCTTCCGGTCTTCTTCAAGGCCTCTCACATTCCCTCACCCTGCACATTTCCTCCCAGCTCCAGGTCAGTGTGCACCTGACTGTGGGCCAGCATTTTATCTCCACACTGTGAGGCTGACTCTGGGAGGCCTGGCCCTGCAGCTGCCCTGGGTGAACCACACGACTGGCATATCCTAGGTGCCCAAGAAGTGCTCAGCAGAACAGACGAGAGGAAGGAAGGGCAGGGGAGCAGCAGGGATGGTCAAGCCCAGAGTTTCCCCTTCATCCTCAGGCCAAGGGCCTGCAGCAGGGGCCCAGGCCTGGTCTGCACCTGGAGCCAAAAGGCCACCAGGGGACAGGAGGGGGTCTAGGGGCCTGGACCACCTCCAGGCTCTCTGCTGGGCTGGCCCCCCACGCCTGCCTGGCTCTATTCCAGAGCACATGGCACCATGACACCCCAGTTCACCCTGCATGATCTTTCCCTGCAGTCTCAGGCACCCCATTTATGCCAGTGGCATGTGAGCACCCTCAGAACTTAGTTCCAGGGACCCAGCAGTGGGACACAGACCCTCACCTCCTTGAACCGGGGGTGGGAGGCATCGCCCACAAGCTGCAGAATGAGCCCCTCGCTGGTGGAGAGGAAGGCACCGCTCTGCCGCATGCGGGCCAGCGCCACCAGCCGGTCCACCTGGCTGCGGACAAGGAAGGGAGGTGTCGGTGCTGCTGACAAGGACACCACACCTTGCCCCCAAAGCCCAGGCTCAGGCCACCCCTCACCTGCGAGAGGAGCAGGCATCCACCACCACATGGACCTCTAGCCCCCGATCCAGCAGGTCAAGGGCTGTGTTCTGGGCAGAGAAAGGGGATGAGAAACAGGGACAGGTGAGGGGTGCGGGTTTGGGTCAGACTGGCCCAAGATGGTGGGCCCAGGTCAGGACAGTGCCAGGAGGGAGGACCCCGGCTGAGGCTGGGGCAGCGCAGGGGTGCAGAAGGATCTTACCAGGATGCAGGCCTGTGCCTCGATGCCACAGAGCAGCACAGACCGCAGCTGGGGCCGGCTGTCCAGCTCCTGCTGCACGGCAGGTACCATGCTGAAGCAGGTTTTACTCAGGGCCTGGAGGCCCTCACCACCCAGTTCCGGAACCGTGGGGCCCAGGCCTTGGGGATATTGCTCTGTCAGCACAGCTGGGACCTCCAGCAGCTGGGACGCCTGCAGGGGAGAGGGACCATGCCAGAGCTGAGGGTGGAGTGTGGACCTGACCTGGAGCCCCCGGGTCTGAGGAGGAGGCCACAGGACCCTGGTCTGAGGGGTCGTCCTTACCCTGAGCATCCGTGCGGCCACAGCAACAATCTCAGGGAAGTACGCAATGCTGTGGCGGAACTTCTCCTGCATGTCGCACAGGAAGAGGATGGACGATCCTGGGAGGACGCGGCCCAGGGCAGGCCTAGCTGCTGCCATTTCTGGGGTGGCAGAGGGCCATGGACAGGTTCAGGGGACAGAGCATTCCTGGTGGTGCCAGCCTGTGTCTGTGCCCTTGCAGCCTCTGCTCCTCTGTCCCCCCACCTGCTCCTCCCTCCTTCCTGCCTCTTCAGCTGGAAGCCACCTCCCAGGACGGTTCTGTGCTCACCCCAGGCCTAGGTTCGCCTCCCCACTGCTGGCCTGGTCTTTGGAGATGCAGTGTCGCTAAGTGTGCAAGCTCAGTGTCCCCCCTCCCAACTGGGGTGTTGGGTGACCAGGCCCCCACTCCAGCTCTAAGGAGGGTGCAACTCACACACCCCAGGGCAAATGGAGGCCTGAGCAGCGACAGTCCTAGCCAGGAAGCTGGGATGGGATGCACCTGCCCCACTAGGGTCCCCTCGAAGGGCTCGGAGCCCAGGGCCTCGGAGCCTTTCAGCCCAGCTCCCCATGTGGTGCTGTGCAGCCTCAGTTTCCCCACTGTGAAGCACTGTGGCTGAAGAAAAGGGGTGGCTAGGCTGCAAAAAAGAGTGGACCCCGAAGCATCACTCTCAGGGAGAAGGCCAGTGACAAGTGACACGGGGTCTGTGTGCAGGAAACCCCAGGGTGGGCGATCAACAGAGGCAGAGGCAGGGGAGCAGGTGCTGGGGACAGGTGGGAGCACTGGGTGACCTGACGGGTACCGGATTGCCACTCATGGTGAAAATGTGCTGGGCCTTGGCAGAAGTGAGGGTTGCACAGTGCCACGAGTGTACTGAATGCCACTCGGCTGGCATTTCCAGAAGGTCACACGCTGGTCTTCGTGCTGGGAGTGCCTTAGTGTAGCTAGCCAGTCTGGTGCGTGTTAGGCCAGTTCCATCACCAGCAGCCCCCAAACACTAGGAGAGTCAGTTTGTTTTTAATTCTGGGAGTACTGGGGATTGAACCCAGGCCCTTACACTGAGCTACAGCTCCACACACGCACCCCCCTGCCTTTTATTTTGACATAGGGTCTCACTAATTTGCTCAGGCTGAGCTTGGAGTCCTCTGCCTTGGCCCCCCAGAGTGCTGGGATTACAATGGTGCAACACCACACCTACCCGAGACAGCAAGTTTTGTTATATATATTTTATCGCAATTAAACAAAGAGGAAAAAAAAATAAAGAAAAACAGACCCAAGGGCTGGGGATTTAGCTCAGTGGTTCGGTGGCCTGCCTTGCAAGTGCAAGGACCTGAGTTCAATCCACGGTACCAAAAAAAAAAGAAAAGAAAAACAGACCCAAAAAAGAAGGGCTGTGGCTGGTGAGGCTACCTACCCAGCTGTCCTCTGAAGGAGGAAGCTCAGGTGCAGCTGGGCTGATTCGATACAGCTCTGGCAGAACCCAGCGAGTCCCTGACCCCCCAGGGGCCTGTATCACAGGTCCTGGAGGCTGCACGGCAGGAGCTATGGCTGGGCTTGTCTGGGGTTCCCTGACACATGCCCGCTGGAGGCAGCAATCAACTGCTGGGTCTGTTTTCCTAAGCGGGGTGGTGAGTACACAGGTGTTTATTATTAAAATGCAATACATGGGGGCTGGGGATTTAGCTCAGAGGTGCCACACCTTCCTCTCAGGAGCAAAGTCCTGAGTTCGATCCCTGGTACTGGAAAAAAACAAAACACAATACAGCTGACCTAGAGAATATGTTCTTCTGTAATGACCTTAACTTTCAAAACCAACAGGTGGTTAAAGTCAGTACATTTTCCCCCCTCTTTTATTACTTTCTGTGCAGGGGATGAACCCAGGGCCTCATGTATGTTGTGCCCAGAGCTGAAGCCCAGAGATGAGTTTACATCGAGCTGGACATTTAGCTCAGTGGTTCTGCCACCTGCTTCATAAGCATAAGGTTCCGAGTTTGATACCCCATACCCCCTCCAAAAGAAAATCCCAGTTCTGTAAAGAAGATGAATTTACATCGTGTGAATTTTATCTTGATTTTTAAAAGATGGAATGGAAACTCCCTCCAATACAAAACTAGAGTAGCGTGATCGAATGAGCATCACAGCATGGCAGCTGTGGTAAGCTGTCAGGTTTGCACCGGCTGGATCTGTCTGTGAACCTCTCCCTGGGAAGTGAACTGAAAATTGGTCTCCAGGAAACCCATAGCTGCTGGTCCCTCCCGCACCACAAACCCTGCCTGGACCCAGGCACTGTTGGTGCTCAGTGCTGGGAGCGAACTTCGCTCTCAGGCTCTGACCCCCAGCCTCTCCTCGCCAGCTCCTGCACCGGGGCTCCCTTCTTACCCCACCCAGGCCAGCTCTTCCTGCCCTGCACACAAGGGGCACGGGGACCCCGCTGCAGCACACCTGGTGGTGGGAGCCCAGGAGCCCAGCTTTGGGTTGGCAGGCCGGGGACCCTTCTCAGAGTGAGACACCGACCCCCTGAGCAGCACTCATCAGAGCTCCTCGGGGTGAGCACAGGGCTCAGTCCATAGGGAGGGCACAAGACACCCACATCCCAGAAAGCCACACTGAAGAGCTCTGTGCAGCAGGAACGAGGACAGCAGGTTCTTTAAGGAGCAGCGGAGACAAGTGTTCACAAGTGCCTTAAGGGATAAGGAGCAGTGTGTACAGAATGCTCCCGTCTATGCCAGAAGAGGGGCCGTGAAGCAAGGTGTGATGGCACACGCCTGCCGTCCCAGCACTATGGGAAGCTGAGGCAGGAGGGTTGCAAGCTGGAGCCCAACCTGGGTAATTTAATGACTTAGTGAGACGCCGTCTCAAAATAAAAACTAAAAAGTGCTAGAATGTAGATCAGGTGTGAGGCCCTGGGGTCAGTCCCCAGTACTGAAAAATAAAATAAAAAAGCAAGTTTTGCCCACGCGTGGTGGCACACGCCTGTAATCCCAGCACTCGGGAGGCTGAGGCACGAGGATCGCTGTGAGTTCGAGACCAGCCTGAGCTACATAGCGAGTTCCAAGTCAGTCTCACTACATAGTGAGACCCTGTCTCAAAAAACCAAAAACCAACCAAACAAACAAACAAAATTTTTTTAAAAAAAAAAAAAAAAAAAAAAAAAAGCAAGATTTACTTAAGGTCAGAGCCCAGCCAAGCCAATGCCGGGGGAGAGAGGTCCAGAGAGCGGTTACTCTTGGGCTACAGGGAGAGGGAGGCGCAGGGAGGGGCCTGCAAGGCCGAAGGGGCAGTTCAGAGCCTCAGAAGGCCTCGAGGACCCAGCCCTGGCCCCGGACTTGCGGGCTCGTACAGTTCCACCGCGCACGAGCCTCAGTTTCCCCCTCAGAGAAACGGTGCAGACGCACGCCCGACGCACAGCCGGCCGGGGACTCGC